GAGCTTCTTCGTGAGCTGCAGGCCCAACGGGAATTGTTGGAGGAACAGCGAAAGGAGCTCAAGCAGATGACCGAAACCCAGGAGAGCATGGCTGGCGCCATGGACTCGGCTTGGCTGTGCCTTTGTGGGGCACTGGTGATGTTCACAGCAGGCCCCTCGACGAGGAGTCCGTGCTAAGGGCACCGATATCGCCGTGGTTCGTCAGCAAGATCGCGGCTTGAGCAGGGAGCTTGATGCTACCATCCAGCTACGTCGTCTTGCTAATTGGCTGGGCAGGGTTGCCGAGCTTCGTCGCCAGCAGCAAGCCGGCGCTCCTGACCAAGGGCTTAGGCGCAGGACCCAGGACACGTGGCCGAGGCAGGTGCCTCGCAACAGCAACTTGGCGCAGGCCGAGGCGGCAGGGTTGAGACTCCAGGCGCAGCTTCGGCAGCAAATTCGCACTGCTAAGGTGGGCCAGTGGCGGGACAACATGGCGGCACAGGGCCGCTTCGCTACGTCGTGGCTCCAGGGCAAGTTTGGCTTGGGAGGGCCGCCAGCAATCCAGCGTGAGGATGGCAGCCGCACCGCCACCATTGGTGAAGGGTTTGCTGAGCTGATTTCGTTTTGGAGCCGCATCTGGGACAGGGAGGCGGGCAGTGAGGAGCTGGATCGGCTCCGCGCTGGCACTCTTACGCGTGGGCCGCCCGTCAGGGCCCATGAGTGGCGACTCACTGCTCAGGACCTGCAGGCCGTCGCGGCCTCGAAGCGACACGGCGCGGCGGGGCCTGACGGCTGGACGGGGGAAGAGGTGTACGCCTGGCCCGCCTACGCGTGGGAGCTTTTCCTGGACGTGTGGCACCGTTGGGCGGAGCGGGACAGCTGGCCGCGACCTATGCGATGCTACCGGCAAATCCTCATGGCCAAAGAGAAGGGTGAGGGCGCGGATAGCTTCCGGCCCATCTCCATCCAGTCGGTCTTCAACCGCGTTGTTGCTTCTGCTATGGCAAGGCATCCCCAGGTGCGGCATTGGATCCAGAGTCTCATCACTGATGATGTGCATGGCGCGGTTGCTGGCCGGGGCGTTCCTACCGCCGTTGCCAGGCTGTTGCAGGCGTGGGATGGCCCCACACCGGTCCTTGTTTCTATGGACCTGCAGAAAGGCTTCGACATGGCCGCGCCTTCCCTCATGACTGGCTTGCTCCAGCACCATGGGTGGCCCACCCTTTGGGCTCGGCACTTGACCAATGCCTGGCATCACCAGGTCCGTTGGCTTCAACACGGGAACTACCTTCGCGAGCATCCCATTGTGAGGTTTCTACGTCGACTCCTCAGGGCGACCCAATGGCACCAGTTGCCTTTGTGGTGCTCCTCGCCGAGGCCGGGCGGCGCCTCCATGATGAAGTTCCTCATGCTGCGCAGGCTCTTTACGTGGATGATCGCAATGTCATTGCCGCTGATGCGCCGGCCGCGGCAAGGGTGTGGGCCTTTTGGAAAGGGTGGACGCGACGGCTCGGGTTAGCGGAGAACTCCGCCAAGCTACGTGTCGTTCCCAAGCGCTCTGAGGATGCAGCCGCTGCGGTGCGGGCCGGCTTCGCGGCCGATGGGGTCACCACTCGGGCCGGGGTTTTAGGCGTTGACTTCATGCAGACTGGATCCGATGAGCAGCCCCAGACCGCTGCTAACCGATGGGCAGCTGGACAGAGGATTGTAGCGAGACTTGCTTCGGCGGGCCTCGCGCCGGGCCTCAAGGCTGGGTTGGCGAGGACGAGAGTCACTCCGCTAGTTACGTGGGGCCGCTGGCTTTCTTCGCCAGAGGACTCACAAGCCTTTCGCTTAGGAACCGCTGTGAAGTTTGCTGTGAGAGGGCACCGCACGGCCTCCCGGGACCTAGTTCAGCTTCTTCATGGGCATTGGATGGATCTTAAGTTTGCAGGGGTTCACTCTTCTTTCGCGGCACTTGCTAGAGCGCTGCAGTTCTGGACGGCGCGGGGCCTTTACTACTCAGGTGGGCAGTGGTTTCGCCAGCTTTGCCATGACATGCAGGACCTTGGCTGGCACCGCACGCTAGGAGGGTTCCAGCATAGCGACCTAGGACATGTGCAGTGGCCGGGCCCTCAGCTTAGTGCAGCTTTCAATCGGTGGATCGGCCGAGCTCTGCATGCTTTGCGGGAAAGTTGGAGACGTCTGCGCCTACGCTCCTTTCTGGGGAGACCGCGCATCGACAGTCGCCTGCTGGGGCCGGCTTGGCCGTACTCGGAGACCGTAGTGCGCAAAGCCAGGTCGCTTTTTGCTCAGGCTGGGCAGGAGCAGCGAGGTTGCTTGGTCGGGGCTGTGCATTCCGTTGCTAGGTACCGGAGGATTGGGAGCATCTAGCATGGCAGCGCCCGCATTTTGCTGAGGATCGCCCGTTCGTTCCGTTGGCAGAGCATGCTACTCGCAGGATGGGCTGGCCGCGTGAGCACACCACGGATGTGGAGGATGCGGCGGTTCTGGATCACTTGGGCAAGGTCCGGAAAGCTGTGTGTGAGCACAGCGGCTTCCGACAAAGGGCGGCGGGGCGCTGAGCGCCCACTCCGGGCGACGTTCTCCTCGAGGGGCGTTCGCCTACCAAACCAACACACTGGTGATGTTCATGCACGCTGGATTTGCCATGTTGGAGACTGGCTGCTGCCGTGCAAAGAATGCCTCGAACGTGCTGATGAAAAATCTGGTGAACGTCTCGGTCGGGACCTTGGGTTGGTGGATCTTTGGCTGGGCCTTTGCCTATGGCTCCCAAGCGGGGTCTTTCATTGGCACGGATGGCTTCTTCGGCCTGGGATTCTACAACAAGGATACGTCGGGCAATATCGTCCGCATGCGCGAGAGACCCCTCCCACAGGGGCATGCGGGCCACCGATGGTGGTACGAAGTTCTCTCAGAGATTTGCTGCCGCGTCTTCTTCCTTTTGTTCTTCATTGGCAGCATGGTTAGCAATTCGATCGGGCATGCGGTTTGGGGCTGTCCGAGTTTTATGCAGCATGAGTGCTTTGGTGGTGGCCGTGTCATCTTCTCCAAGTTCTCTATTGGCCTCACCTGTGCAGTTTGGGCATGCTGGTTGATGCAATGGCATGCCTGGCTTCGACGTCGTTTTGAGTGGGAAGGCCTTTCGCCTCTCCCTCCTTTTCCTGCTGCTGGGCTTTGGGTGCTCGGCGGCTGGCTTAGTCTATGTCTTTTGGCCCTAGTGATGGAGGGCTACTTCGAGGTTCGTGCTGTGGGAGCATGGGCCCGCCTTCGCCGACGAGGTGCCAGCGTAAAGGCTGGCATGGTTCATCTTGGGGATTCTCCGGATTCGAGTTCCTCAGATCATGGCGTTTCAGCTCTACAGCCGGATGTTGGTTCTCTGGCTGCTAATCATTATGCTTTTCCCCGGGTGCTTGCTTGGTCGGCTCGGCTGGCCGGCTCCTCCCGCTTTGCTCGGAGCTGGAAGTGTGCTCGGATGGGTTGCCGAGCCTTTGTCCGGCCCCAGGCTCCGCGTGCTTTGGTGTGTACAGGTGAGCGGCATGCTCGTCAAGACGGCGGCGAACCTCTCCAAGATGATTGCAGTAGTGGTGCCCATGTCACCATGAATGATTTTGTCGGTGACCGCGCTCTGGATCAGAGCATTTTGCCTGATCTCGAAGGAGATGAAGATGCTCTCGCTACGGCGGCGGGCATAGAGGATGGAGTCGGCGGAGGGTCGACTGCTTGTATCCTGGTTGGGGCCGGAGGTGTTTTGGCTGATCCTGATGGAGTGGCCTCCGCGATTCATGCTGCGAGGCTTGGGGCCGGAGGTGCTTTGGCTGATGGTGGCGGCGGGGATCCACTTCGCGGTGGCGCTGGTGGAGCAGCAGCTACAAGGCGCAAGCGCACAGAGAAATTGCTTCAGGGACTTCATGGTCTTCTGGAAGATTGGGGCGGCGAGGCTGATGATGACCAGGGTGCCAATGATGACTCCGAGGCGCTTTTCAGTCAGTTGGAGCAGCTGCTTTGGGCAAGGCCGGCGGATCCTTTCAGGGCTTTGCAACGCTTGCTTCAGCAGTGGTCTTCTGAGCGTGGTGCTGCAGCTGCTGAGTGGAGTGCGCCGTCAGCGCCTCGATGGCGGCACAGGCGTGCTGCTCACAACGGCGGCCGTGCGGAGGCCGATGCTGCTTGGTGGGGCGACGAGGCCTCACACACGCGATGGGCTGGGGAGCCTGCTGCTTCGTTGCGGGCCCCGGCGGCTTCTGGGGAGGACAGTGGCTGGCAAACCGTCAGCCGCCGCAAGGCGAAGAAGAAGGCTGCAGCGGCACCGCCTCGGGTTGTCCAGCTTAGCTCTGCTCCTGTTGCTGCCAAGGGCAGGGAGCAGGCTCACGGCAAGGGCTCCGGCAAAGGCAAGGGACGTGCTGCTGACAAGGACAAGGGCTCTGGCTACAATGGGCCGATGTGCGTCGATGATTGGTGCCCTCGGGCTGCAGATTGGGACCATGGTGCTGTTGTCGTCAGCACCATTGACGAGGTGTGGGACGACCCCACCCTGGACTACATCGTGTACCTCAAGTCGGCTGGCGAGATGGAGCGCTTCCGCACGCTGGTGCAGTCCAGCGAGAATGCCCCGGACATCACCTTCGTTCTCCTCAAGGGCGACGGTGCTCTCGAGGCCAGGCGCCGGGAGTTTGCTGAAGTAGAGTGGGTCGAGGCAAGGGTTCCGGGCACATGGAGGAACCATCTTCGAGTTGCTTCTGTGTGGATGGCTCAGTGCTCTCCTGACGCCCCGTCTCTCAAGGCGTCAGCTGTTAAGCCAAAGGCGCCGGTCGTTCAGAGCACTTCAGTACTTCGTGTGCACTCTGATTGGGTGTACTGTGAGAAGGGCGAGAAAGCCTGGGCGGAGATCACTAGGAACCCGGGCGCTCACTTTAGAGCTTGGGCTGCCGACTCCTTTGGCAGCATCAAAGACACATGGCAGTGGCAGCTCACTCGGGGCCCCGGAGGCGCCGAGGCCACAGTCGAGGGATTGATTCGCATGCCGTCCTCTCGAGTGGCTGCTGCTTTGTCGGCCTCTGGCTCCCGGCATGGGGGCGAGACGTGGTTTGTTTCCAATGTGAGCAGAGCTCAGGAGCTTCAGGGGGTTCCTGCTTTGACGGTGCATTGGCAAGAATGGGAGCCGAACGAGGCGTGGGGAACTTATACCTCGCGCGCTGCCGCCGTGCCTCTCAGGCGGTTGACTTTGGCTTGGCCCGGGTGGCCAAACAGCTTGGCATCAGGCGGGCGGCTTCCGAGGCCGAGCTCGCCAGGCCACGCACCCTCAGGCGTTTGTGGCGGGCTTGTGGTGTTCCGCGTGCTTGGTGCGTTGAGGAGGTGACCGAGTTCCTTGCCGAGTGCCGCTTCGAGGAGCCGAGTGTCGAGGAGAGATTGCCCTGGAAAGGGGCCACAGCATGGACCTTTCGCGCCACCATGCCGGCCGACACCGACTTCATCTCCATCGACCTGGACGGTGACACCATTGAGTTTTCGCGGCTTGGGCGGGACAACCATCACGCTCGGGACCGTGCGCTGCCCCTCGAGATCAAGCAGGTTTACGCTGGTCGCAGCCAGCGGCAAGCCAAGGCTGTCCGTAGCAAAGCGGCTGGCTCGGTCCAGGAGACCCAGGAGGCCAAGGAGACCATGCACGTGGATGGTGGCGGCGATCGGCCTCGACTCGATGATGGCAAGTCGCTGCCTGGGCAAGGGTCTGTTGATGCTGCGGCCAAGAGGCCGAAGACTGGGGCTTCAGTTGCTGGCTCGGGGCCCTCGATCCCTGGCGGCATGAAGTTGATTGACAACGCCGGCCAAGGCGACTGTCTCTTTTTAGCGGTCAGCGAGGCCCTTGTTGCACAGGGCCGTTCACGACGGTCAGCGGCCGACCTTCGCAACTTGTGTGTGACTCACTTGAGGAAGCACGAAGCCACCTACTCCGCCTTTTGGCGCGGAGATGCGCCGAACGCTGAGCAAAGCGATATCAAAAGCCAAGGCTTTGGAGAATATCTCAGGCTCATTGGCCGTGATCAGGCCTGGAGCGGCTCGATCGAGCTGGCCGCCCTTGCGGCCACCCTCAACCAGCAGATTTTCGTTGTGAGGCCCCTCGATGACGAGTTTGATATCAGGGTTTTTGGGCCGGCCTCTTCGAAGGCCACCCCCCTTACGTTGTGGTTTCAGCATCGTCATTATCAAGCTCTTGTTGGCGAAGCTGATGAAGTTGCTGCTCGGGCTGTCAAGGCCGAGGTTGGAGACCCTGCCGACCGAGGTGGGGGCAAGGATAGTGTGCGCGGCCGGGCCTCAACCTTGGGGGGCCGCACTGCCTCTTCGAAGGCCTCGTCGTTGGGCGGCTGCACCTACGCCGCTCCTACTTGCAAGGCTCCTTCTACGTTGGGGAGATGCACGGCGCCTCGCTCTGATGCTGGCTCCTTGGATGCTGCTGTTGCTTTCCCCGAGCCTGGTGTTGCAGTTGAGGATCCTGTGCCTACAGGGCATCGTGCTCGAGCTTTGTGCCAACAGAGGTATCGTGAGAACCCTTTGGCGGCAGGGGGCGGGATCCCTACTACTTTCGAGTGCCCCCACTGTGACTATGCCTATTCGCATGCCTCTCGAGACATCGTGTGCACGGCTAGGCGGCAGCATTTGAATCGTTGGCATGCTGGTGCTGGGCTCCCCGGGCCCATCAGGGTGGTGACCAGTGCCTTTAGGCAGCTCAGTGCAGAGGAGATCCGTGCCGATGCTTTTGACTGGAAGTGCCCCGCTTGCCGCTTCGGCCTCCCCTCCGGCCTTCAGCAGACTCTGACGAGGCATGTGGTGGATCGCGAGAAGGCTGCTCACCGGCGCAAGAAGCACCCCTCCTTTGACACCAAGCAGTGGCAGGCTTTGGCTTCGGCCCAGGCTCAGCGGCGTCGGTGTGCTCGGCGCATCCGTGTGGTTCAGGCGGCCAACAAGCGAGCGGAGAAGTGTGTCCGAGGAACCTCTCGCCACGAGTACGACGGCTACCAGACACTGCTTTGGCCGATGATCACCGCAGACCATGTTCGGCCTCGGCCAACACGTGTTGTGTGGCAGCATGCTTGGAGCTGTTTGAGTTGCAACCACTTGTTCACTTCTCGGGAGGATGCATCTATGAAGGCCCACCGTTGCTGCAGGTACCCCCCCAAGAAGGGCTTGCACAAGATCCGCAAGAGCCGCTTTCTCAAGGCCGTCCGCTTCTTGAGGAAGTCACCGCATGGGATGCCAGACGAGGTGCTTACCAGCAGGCTCGCTGCGGCCGAAGCAGCGCTGCAGCGCAGTGATCCAGCATGCCGCCGATTGACGCAGAAGCCATGACGACGCCACCCGCTCTTGAGGGCCGTGTGACTCGGGTTGGCACCATGAATGTTGGCAGAAGCTTGGCGAGCAAAGTGCTGGCGGTGATTGCTGTGATGCAAGCTCAGCGCCTCGACATCTGCTGCCTCCAAGAGATTGACGTCAATGCTCCGTCGTGGCCTCGGGTTGTGACTGGTTTCAGGGCTCGGGGTTTCAACATCTTTGCTGGTGTGGCGGATGCATGCTCCATTCGGCGCTGTGCTATTGTTAGCAAGCTTCCGGGCAAGCTGCTCCAGCTTGAGGGCGTGGAGGAGCCTGACAGGACTGCTGCCATGGTCCTTGAGGTCCAGCGTGGCAGCTCTTACCGCAAGGTCGTTGTTGCTTGCACCTATGGGCACGCTAGCTGCCCTGAGGCTGCTGCTCGCCATAGTGGGCAGGTGATCGCTGAGCTTTGTCGTCGACGGGCTGACTGGGTGCTGCTTGGTGACTTCAACGTGGCTCTGGACGAGCCCCACGCTGCTTCGGAGCTTGCTGCCCGTGCCGACGTGAGGAGTCTGGACGAGCCTTTTCTGGAGCACGGCCCTTTGCCGGCTACCTCGCCAAGCCGGCTCAGACGCATTGACTTCGGTTTGGCGTCGCGGCAGCTGTCGGCGGAGGCTCTCTACACCTTTGAGGGCATCGCGGATCATCGTGGCACCGCCTACGACATGAGGTTGGCTGGCCCGCGGGGTTTCTCTGGACCTCCTCGGGCTCCGTTGGCTGCGGCTGATGTTTCGCCCTCGTGCTGGGAGGAGTTGTGGCGCCCCTTCGAGGCTTCTTTCAGGGCTGCTCTGGACACCGACGTGGAGGAGGCCTGGTCCATCCTTTCTAGCGGGGCGGAGCAGGCGATGGCTGGTTCGGCTTCTCGTTCACCCGGCTGCGCTCGACACTCTACGTGGCGGCCCCATGGTGAGCGTGACGTGCACAAGGCTGCTGCTGGAGCTGAGTCCCTCTTGCTGACGCGGATGCGTCGCTTGCAGCGGCGTTTGGCCCACCTTCGACGGGTTCCTCAGGACGCGCAGTTGCGGCGCAACATAGCGAGCGACCTCGAGCATCACGGCAACTCTTTCCCGGAGCTCTTGGAGTACGTGGATGGCGGCGAGCTGGGCGCTGTGCGGCTGGTGGACTCCCTCGTTGCCGCGCTTGAGAAGGAGGCTCAGGAGTCGGCGATTGCGGCCTGGAGGCAGGGCGTGGACTTCAACTTCAAGGCTCAGTGCGCCTGGGTCAAGCGACGCTCCGGTCTTGAGAAGGAGATTGAGACTGCTGGCGACTTGGACCCCCTGCTTCCTCGTGTCGCTGTCCATCCGATGCGGGTCATTGCGGAGGCGGAGGCCCAGTGGCTACCCCGATGGTCACGTCGCCGAGGCCGTGACCATGGTGCTGTGGAGGCTGCTCTTAGTGCCCTTCCTGAGTTGGAGCCCTCGTCGTTGGAGCTCTCTTTTTCGGGAGCTGAGCTTTTCGCGATTGCCAAGGGCATGTGTGGGAAGGCTGGCGGTCCCGACGGTTGGACGGCTGACTTGTGGTGCCACTTGCCGCTGAGTTTTTGGAACTGCCTTGCTAGACTATGGCAGTCCGCCCTGAGGCTTCGGCAGTTGCCTAGGATTTGGCGCTACTCCCGCGTGGCCCTCATCCCGAAGCCCAACGGTGATTGCAGACCGCTGTCTTTGCTGTGCATCGCCTACAGGATCGGGGCCAAGTCGGTGCTGGCGCAGGTCTCTTCGTGGGCCGAGAGTTGGCTGGGACACCAGACGTGCGGGGGCGTCCCGCGCAGGTCGCTCAAGGACGTGGTCAGTCAGCTGCTGATCTCCAGCACGGACGGTGGCGTCGCTGTGGCTGAGGACTTGTCGAAATTCTTTGATGGCATTGACCATCAGGACTTGGACATGGCGCTCGCGAGGTTGGGCGCTCCGCGGCAGTTTCGTGAGCTGGTGGGCCTCTTCAACGACGAGCACTACAAGCTGTTCTCCTCCGGCGGCCTCCTTGGTGGGCGCTGGCACAAGACGAGCCGTGGTCTTTGTCAAGGGTGCCCGTTGAGCCCTCTCCTCGCCTCTACGGTGATGATGGCCTGGGCGCTCCGACTCGAGCGGCTTCCTGGTGTTCGGGCGACCTCCTTTGTTGATGATCGTTACATGCTCCTGCAGCCGAAGGCTGATGCCGCCTCGGCTTGTCGTACCAGCCGCAGCTTCGACAGTGCCCTGGGCTTTGCCTGTGACAGTACCAAGTGCAGCGTGGCGGCCTCTTCCACTTGTGTTTGGGCTCCGTGTGTGGCGCAAACTTTTGGCTACGAGCTCACCTCCGTGCTCAAGGTGCTGGGCCTGATGGTTGGCTTTGACGTGGAGCAGCAGGCGTCGCTGGCGGGCTTCTCGGTGCACAAGGCGCGGCAGCGACTTCGACTCTCCGCTGTGGTCTCAAAGACGTTGGAAGGCAGACGGCGGCTTTTTCGTTCGCTGGTGGCGCCGTTGTGGTCGTGGGCTGGAGCTTTCGGTGGCCTCTCCGCTGCTGGCGCTGCTGCGCTGAGACAGGACGTGGTGTGCCGTGTCGGTGTGATGAATGCCGGTGAGAAGGCTCGGCCTTTGGCCTTGGAGATCATCGGCTACGACTGTGACCCGGTCTTTTCGAGGCGATGGGCTGCGCTGCGTGAAGTCACCCGTTTGGCAACCGGCACTGCAGCGTGGCAAGAGACCGCCCCGCTTGACGTCGCTCTTCGGGCCTGGCCGACGTACCTCTCCTTTGCCATGCTCATCTTGGCCGAGCTGGGGTGGCAGGTGGAAGAGAACGGCCGTGTCATCACCAGGATGGACTGGCAAGGCCGGCTTCGGAGGTTTCGCTGTGGGCTTGACAGGCTTGAGGTGCTGCGCGAGTGGCTCCTGGACTGGCACCGACGTGAGGCTCTCTCTAAGTGCCCTTGGGTCCACAGAGGTTTTCATCGAGATGATCAAACCCTGGCTCGAAGAGGACTTTTGCCGCCGATTTCTGCGGACACCCTGTGCACTTTTAGGGGTCACTGCAAGCGCTTTGGTGTGTGTGGCCCTTTTGGGCGCCAGTTGTGCTTAGGTGTTGGCTGCAGCGGCTGGGACAAGGCCAAGCGCAATGGGCTGGAGGCGACGCCCAGGTGCCGATGCGGGCTGGAAGAACCCAGCCGACCGCACTTGCTCTGGAGGTGCCCGGAGTTTAGAGCACTCGCTTCGGTCTACGGCCCGCCGTGTAATCGGCTGGCTGAGAGGCTGCTGTTCCAGAGATCCCTCCGTCGCCGCATGTGCTGGGATTGGACGAGCTCGTGGAGGACGTCAGCGCTGACATCCGACGGCGGTGGCCTCCCGAAGGTCCTTTGCTGATGGGCACCGACGGCTCCGAGTGCGACATGGTAGCGGCCGCTTCCTTGGCCATTGAGGGGGGAGGCGCCTTCGCTCGCGGTCTCGATGGCGAGGACCAGTCCGCCTACAAGGCTGAGCTCGAAGGTCTTCTTCTCAGCCTTCAAGGACTGTGTGGCGCAAGAGTGGCTGGCAGAGCGGTCATTGCTGTTGACTGCAAGGCGGCGATCGACGCCTGGAGGGGCCATGGTTGCCTTTCCACTTTCGTGAGGCTTTTCGAGCAGCTCAGGGTGCAACTGCGGGCTCTGGATATCGTCGTCGACATAGTCTGGGTGCCTAGCCACGACAAGCCCACTCCTGAGGGGTGGCAAGGCAGTGCTTTCGTTCCGCTGCAGAGACTTCGTGCAGTCAATGCCAGAGCTGACGAGGCGGCTGGTAGGCTGGCCCGGAGGCGAGCTTCGGGATCACTGAGGCAGCGCTGCCTCAGAGAGCGCGAGGCGGCGGCCAAGTGGGAAGAGAAGGTCCTCATCCTCGCTGAAGGCGTGGCTGAGGAATGGGCCGCGTGTGAGACCTGAGGGGCTCGCACGGCGGCCAGTAGGACCTTTCGAGGGCATCCTGCTGGTCGCTTCACAAAACACATAATGGCAATATCGTTACGGTGGAATGTGACGACGGAAACTGCCAGTCCACGATGCTGAGTTGGTTCTTTCAATGGGCGTTTTGCATCCTTGCGAATACCTCCTGGGCACTTTGCCCTCGGTGGAGGCGGAACCAGGCACCGCCTGGTGACCAAATTCGATCGACTATGTGGAGAACGATGACGGTGGGTGTCACGCTCCTCTACATGCTGTGTGGACTGTCCCACCGATGTCGACAACAACGTGAAGATTGGAAGTGCGAGAGGCCTCGGAGAGGGGCACCGAAGGCCAAGATGCGCAGAAACACCGTGGCGAGACGGCGAAGCAAGAGAAAACGAAAGAAAAGGCCCGATGATGGGGCCCTCGGCCCCTGGGCTGGGAAGCGACGGCTGGCTGCCAGAAGCGTGGTCTGGGTTGGAGGACGACGAGTCGCAGGGCGAAAGCCGCGGTGCCACATGGGTGCGTGGTGCTGCAGACGCCAAGGCGATCAAGGACTTTTCGTGCTACTACGTGGCTTGAGCGAGCTTGAGTTGGGGGACGCTTTAAGCTGGCTTTTGGCAAGGCGGGCGCGGATCTCAGAGGACCTGTTGCTTAGGACAGTTTGTAGGCTTCGTGCTTTGCGGGGCGGGACCCTAGGGCCGCGGGCTTGTCCGGTAGTTAGCTCTACGGAGCTCCCCGGGGCCAATCTCTCCTCCCAGTGTGCGAGCCATGGCATTGCTGGAACTGAGGAGCTGGAGCTGGCGGATGCTGACGGCATTCCGGCTGACATGTGGGTTGAGTGGGCTGCAGGCTGCCAGCGCTGGCGTGACTTCTGTCGCGGTGGTGGAGGTGGGCAAGGCCATAGCGAGCTACTTGATGGTTTGCAGGCATTGCTCGCCAAGATTCCAAAGCAAACAACGGGCCAATCAGTGGCCAAGAACAAGGGCAAGGGCAAGCGCACAGATGGAGGAGCGTGTGGCACAGATCCGCCACCCGGTGGGCAATCCCGCAAAGGCAAGGGGCAGGGCAACAAGATCAGCAATGATGATGAGTTGGTTGCCGCCTTGGAGAGTTTGGTGAGAAATGCCCGCAAGGATGCCACAAACCTCCTAGAGGATCTGCAGATGCTCGTCGCGAAGGCGGTGGCGGGCTACGGACAGGGCAGGGCAGCAAGGAGAGTGCGCGCACAGTCTCAAAGCAAAGGGCGTGGCGAGAAAGACAACACTGCTGAGGAACAGGGTGTCAGCTCAGATGGCCCTTCCTTCTGCAAGCCAATCGAAGGCAGAAGCGCAAGGAGATGAGTGGACCACAGTGGTCAACAAGCGACAGCGTGGTCCCACTCCGCAGTGGGTCATCGATCCCCTTGTCGGTGGCATCATCGGTGTTGGTGTGGCTCGGACCAGGCTTGCCAATGGCCAGGAGCTCAAGGCAGCGATCATCGTCGCCAATGAGATGCAGGAGCTTAGTGCGTTGCAGTCTTTGGCCAGAGCGCATGAGCTTAAGGACAAGGTTGCGGTAGTTTGCAAGTTTGAGCCACCCGCGGGTGCCACTACGATGCAGCTGCCGTCCATCGGCCCGAAAGGCCAGAGGCAAGTTCGGGCTTGGCCTGTTGTTGCCCTTTGTGCGGCGGGCAAACCAGAGATCAAGCACAACGTTGTGATTAGGTCTACGTTTGCTGTGCCAGACAGGCAGCTTGTGACACTTCGCATTCAAGTGCCGAAAGAATTCCGGGACCCCGAGTCCTGGACCAGTGCCTGCAAACAGCCGAGCGAGACCGCATCGGCTGCGCTAGGCAAGTTCCGGCTTTTTTTGGCATTTGGCACAAGATGCAGGCGGGAGAACAGCACCAACGAGAAGCTGTTCTGGAATGCTATGCCAAGGTCATTGCGGACCAGAAGGCGGCCATCTTAGCCAAGTCGGGGACCAATGGAGTCTTCGTCATGGAGTTGGCCCGGGATGGGGCAAAGCGCTACGTAGAATGGCAACCAACAGAGGACCTATCGGGGCAGGCCTACTTACAGGCCACCCTCCGAAAAGCCCAGACAGTTGGAACGTCATTGGCTTACCGACGTGGCGGTGGGGCCTCGCTGGGAGTACGGATTGCCCCAGACAAGGTCGGCGACAGGGTGTGCGCTTGGCGGGCTCGCAAGGTGCCTCGAGACTGGACGGAAGATGACTTGCTCGGGGCCCTTGACCGCGGCGAACATCTCAGACATCGAGGTCATCAGTCCTGGCCGTGGCAATTTGCCGTGGCTAGTCCGGGGAAGGTTGAAAGGAGATGCAGGACAGCCTGTGCTGGCCATTCAGGTCGGCAAGCACACCGTTGACTTGGAGCGGGCCACTGCCAAACGAAAGCTGGTGGACTTGGAAGCGGCGAGGCTGCAGCCAGAGAAACCTCAACGAGGAGCTGGGCTTTCAAGTGGACCGTCTTTGAGCAAAGGTGGCAACAAGGGCCAGAACAGCAGCGCCAGGGGAAAAGGCCAGGCCGCCAGAGCTGCAGCTGTTTCTGGCGAGGCGGCGCAGCAAGGCAAAGAGGGTGCCTCGGACACGGGCGGCCGCGACAGGTCTCGCTCACCAACGAGGACAGCCGATGCTTGGCACGAGGTGCTGGAGTGTGGTGGATCTGGCAGCTGTTTTTATAATGCGATTGGAGCTTATTTTGCTGTGCAGCGAGATGGTTTTAACGTACCGGACGCGAAGAAGTTGGCCAAAGCGCGGGGTGCCACACTCCGCGCCGAGATTGCCGGATACATCAGGGAGAAGGCTGGAACTTTCAAGGACTTTTGGGTCTCGCCGGAGATTCCTGCGGACGAGGCTGGACGAGTGAACCTGGAGCAGATGGAGGGAGGCACGCCTCCTGGCAGCTGGGAAGACTACTTGAAGGCGCTTGATCGGCCTACTCGGTGGGCCGATGATATCGCATTCCGTGCAGCGGTGAAGCGACTTAATTGTCGTATCATAGTGGCGGTGGATGATGCCGAAAACCCCACGCAGCTGCTGGCGTACGGCAAGCAGATCGACTTCAAGGACGGCCGCAAGCAAGCAGTGATCCCCCTCCTTTACAGTGAGAAGCACTACCAGCTGATCATGGCCAAGCCTGGGAAGGACATCGCAGACAGCTGGAGAACTCTGCCGGTTGGGGGCCATGCTACGGTCCCTCGTGGTGGTGGCGATGGGGAATGGCTTCCTCCTCGCTCTCCGTCGTCGGCGGCTTCCTCCAGTGCTGCTCCTCCTTCACGAAGGGTGGGCGGGGGGGTACGCTTGGAGCACGAAAGGACAAATGATCCCCCGCAGCTCGAGGAGCGTAAGCAACCTGCCCCCGCCAGAAGCGAGCATTATGAGGACTGGCTTCCTCCTCGTTCGGCGTCTTCGGCCTGTTCGGACAGTGAGGACAATGGCGATTGGCTCCCACCTCGAGCTCCGTCGTCGTCGGCTCGCTCGGCTCCTGCATCACGGGACGGGTCATGGATACCACAGACCCCGGCTTCGCAGGCATCATCGTGGACTCCAGCTACTCCGGCGTCTTGCAGCTTTGCTCCTAGGACTCCGCGTACATGCCGGTCTTCTGCAAGTGGCTTGGGCAAACAGCATTCGCTCCATAGTTTCTTCATGCCTGCGTCCGGGCTAATGAAGGGCACGCCGCTCAGACAGGATGACTCGGCGTCTCAGGTTCCGGGCGCTCCGGCATCCATTCAGGATGAGGCCTCCACCGTGCGACCACGGCAAAAGCAGACTACAGGCAGGATCGTCTTCGGCAGACGCACTCGGCTGTATCAGGCTTTGGGCGGCCATGACTGCCCCAAGACACGGGCACGCGGCAACTCCGTTATGGCACGCTCACAGTCATCCTGACACATCGGCTGAAAGAGCTGCGTCGTCTTCAGGCTCTGGCCGCGCGCACCGATCATGATGTCAGGGTCTATGGCAAGGGCAAGCGCAGCCGATGGGGATGCGTTAAGTGTTGTATGTCATGGGGGAAGAATTTCATGGACGTCGAGCGCTCGCTGGTGAACGGCGTGGAGGCGCAGTGCGAGGGCCCAGGCCGAGCTCGTCACATCAGGAGCCCTTCGTTTTGGAGGGGATAGGGGTTAAAAAAAACTAGAAGACGAGTGGCCCGAAAGCATCATTAGCCATGAGTTTTGGGGCCATGAGTGTCGGCTATAGAGAGTCTATAGAGAGTCTAAAGAGAGTGTCGTAGAGTCAAGTGTGGTAAAGTCAAGT